CAGCTGCCACGCGAAGGGGTTAACCCCGCGGTGGGTTTTTAGTGTAAAGGTCGGCGGTGGGTAGAGCGATCCACGCTGGTGTGCTGCGCGGCAGCGTCAGCGCATCTTAATGGTTGGGGATTAAAATCTGGGGGGGGGGGGGGGGGGGATGAGAACGGCATCGAGGCGAGATGTAAGGAGAGATGTAAAAGCTGCTCACCGATCTAGTGCAGTGGCATTCGGCGAGAATGCGCAATAACTAAAGCGAACACGCGAGAAGGGCAGTAAAAATCCATCCCCCCCCCATGTCTCTCAGCACTCAATCCTGCGACGGGCGGGCCTGACAAAATGCTGATTAACCAAAACTAAGCCATCGTTCACAGCGTTGTGCCTATACCGCTCGTTTGCTTAATTACGGTACACCACACGCAAGCCCACTCAAGATTGTTTAATGACAAAATATAATACAAATCGTCATCGGCCGTGATCAATCTACTGCTGGATGCATGCCTCCCCAAGCCATCGCTATCTCTCAAGACCCTGCGATGTAAAAATCCACCGAGAACCTGCTGGTGTATCACGCTCCATTTCCACGGTGGAAGTTATGCCGGCCATGCTGCTTCCCTTGCCTGCCATTCCATCGTTAGTCTCGACCAACAGCCAACATCCTTTCTAATTAGATGTCCTGTCCAAGCCAACTTGTTTTCATTAACAGCCAAAAGTATGTCGTTGCTGATGTCTATAATGACGTCATTAGTTACGTCTTCAACACACGCAGCGGATGATACATGTTACAAACGTACGGCATATCGTGCACGCGTGAACGCATACACCAAGGGTGCCTGCTATAGCCCGATCGGACCGGTGCAGCTGCTGCTGTTAGCGAGTATCTATTAAGGGCAGTGTGCCGACTCGAGGGGTTGGCGGGGTCAACGTCACGAGCCACTGCCCTTGTCTCCCCGAGCGCCTGTGTTGACACACTGAACTGGGTAATCATTTTTAGGCCGTGTAACCTTTGAGAAGACCCATGCCAAGTACAGACACCAATTTCCACTTAAGTGCATGACCAGGAATTGCACCAGAGTCACTAGGTTGCCTACGTAATTGCCTTTACCGGTACACCATTGCTCCCAATACGCAGAGAGCCGGTCGAGTGGTATACAGAATGCTGGGAGAAGCGCTGTCAGTGAGGGCCTATGAACGCTGATATTGTACACAAGAGAGTACTGTGGTCAAAACTAAAACTACCGTTGTCTCCCCAGAGCTGATGATGAAGCACCGCACCAAGTGCTGTACTTGTTTTAAAGCCGAGTAAACCCGTGGTTCTGATCGCAAACGCTATTGCTTGTGTGTGTGGCTAGTCGTGGTGTTGAATCCAGGTGGCTGATATTGTTGAGCACTTTTGATTTTGAGCATTTGATTCTTTTGCGCTTGCACACAGCCCTTATAGCCTGCAACCGACTTTTGGTGCAAGTGTTGTCAGCGAGTACCCATACCTGTAGACCCATACAGTTTACCCGTATTCTTGTTCAGGGAAATTGAACAACATTTGTTTCGTCTATTTGTTTGTGTTTCTCCGTTGTGATGGAACTTTGTAGGATGAACGTTTTAGATTTATAAGGGCACGTGGGTGACCAATAAGATCTGAATGTCTGAAATAAGGTAGGCACTGATAAGGGATTGACAAGTATGAGTACCTATAAAGACCAGCACAGCACACAAGGAGGTGGGTGGCCAACACCATGCCTGGCCGCCTTTGTCTCCCCACACACCCCCATGAGGTACTCATTTTAGGCTGAGTAAACCTAGGGGAGGCCCAGGACAGGTTCACATAATCGCCACTGCCATTGGCCATGAGCGAGAATTGAACTCGGGTCCCCGCATTCATAGCGCAGCGCATGCTCACCGCTACACGTACACACATGCGCACACATGCGCACACACATGCGCACGCACAGCAACGTGCTTGGGAGACAAATAGCATGTACAGGCTTCCGCAGGAGGCAAATAGCAAGCACTGGCTTCCGCACAACACACTTGACCGACGTCCGTACTCCAGGTATGGTGGGCACACGCACGTCCTTGAGTGACCTTGTTTACAAAGAGCGAGCGACCAGATGCTCCGTGCAGGAGCTGCAGATGGTCACAGCATCTCATTAACCTGACTACGCAGGCGGGCTTTGATGAGTAACGTACATCGCCCGCTTATAATGTGTCGCTTGTTATAGATGAGCAGGTGTGGTGTGCCTCGGTCGAGAACGAAAAATTGACCGGCGTCACATCGTTCACATTGCTTGTGGAACCACATTCCTTGTTATTTGTGCGACGGCAGCATGGAACATAAAAAACTGTACGAAGACACTCTTAATCGGAAGAGTTCAAATGTGCAAAAAAATTGTTATTAATTAACCAAAGTAAATATCTTTTTTTGGTGTGTACTATTTCAAACGTCGTATTTTGTGAATGGGAGGATTGTGGTTGTACGATGTGCAGTATTCACAAGTAGTTCCTATACATTCGGCAGCGGAAGAGAACCTCTTAAGGATGCTGCCCATGTTAATGCGACCACTGATGTATTGTGTGCCGACAATGTCCACAATTAGCTTGGGTCACGCTCCGCTAATCCTCATAATGCCGAGCCTGCCAATGTGCCGCCAAACCGGAGCAGGACATCTTTCATTCATTCATTTGCCGATTTTTTTTTTTAACCAAGGATTTATTCATACGTCTATTCATTCAGCAAGGGATCCGCCCGTTCATTTACTGATGGGCAAGACACTACACTAGCGCCATTTGTCCTCCTCCTGCTCGTCGTGCGTTCATGCGAATGCGCGGCAGCAGGCGCCGACATCCCCCCTTTGCCGCGCTGGAAATGCGCGGCCAACAGTCGGCAACATTTCCCATTTGAGCAGCCCCCTGCCAAGAGCGATCACGCAAGTTTTGCATTTGATGCATTCACTTGGGGTCGTCCGTGATAAAATACCTTGTTGGGCCTTTCAACCGCATGACAAAACAATATCCTCCACAATGCACATATTACTTTATTTTACAAACACTGCTGGTAAGACACTTGCAATGTTTGTTTAATAAAAAAAAATCGTGGATTTCATATATATAATAAGTGCGCTGTAAGTGTCAACTGTTTATGCCCCAGGATGTTTGGAAGTCTGCTGTGGTAAAATGCCAACATTTTGCCTTGACTAAATTTTTTTCCTTTGTACTATTTTTATATTTATGTATTGCCATTTCCAGCTGTCACACTCTCGTGTCTGTATATTGTACATGCAGTGTCTGCGAAAAGAGCAAAATCATTTAAAAAGCACACTTAAAACAGAGGTTTATAGTCGGACCACACAACAGTGCAGCGAACCAATGCATGGGATAGAGCAGTGGCACAATTAGTGGCCGGATGCAGGGGGGTGGGGGAGAATGGAGGCGATTTCCACCCCCCACTCACCCTCAAGAACCCGAAGCTTGGCATTTTAAAGATATTTACCAAATAAAAAACACTGATTATTTATTATTATAGTATAGAGCCCTATTTAAAACGTTTGGAATTTCAGGTCCGACTCCCCTTTCTTGTGAAGATACGAGATAAATGGCAAGGGGCGCCACGGTGGTGAGATGTTAACTACCTCACTTGGTATGCAGGAGGTCGTGGGTTCGATCCTGACTCTGACGCCTGCTGCTGTATATTTGGAGTTTGCATGTTCTCCCCCCGTGGTCGTGTGGATTTTTCTCTGGGTCCACTGTTTTTTAGCTGCTATAAATTTCCACTTGATAAGCCACTTCGCTGAGCTATATGTGGCCAGGTCTCTTCTGAAAAGGAGCTATTGTATGTAGCTCAGTGGGCCTTAACCTGGTAAAATAAAAAAAATTGTTTAATGCTTTTTAAGATTCTGGGCAGTGGTTAGCACACTGCACTACGAGCCCTGCCACAGCAAGCAACAGTGACCAGTGGTATCAGATGTATTCCAGAGTCCCCCTTCATGGGGAGGCCTTCATCCAGCAGTCGACTGGCAAAGGGCCGTACACAACTATGCAAATATATGTAATCGTTGCGATGCATTGAGCGTCACATTTTTGCAATGTGAATGTTTATTTACCGGCATTAAAGTCACGTGTACCCGCATCGTCGATCTGAGAAACAGCTCGTGGTGTCTTACCTTGACCGCACCATTTCATGGTTTTTATTCAAGGGGTAACAACATATTCACGCACAAACCGTGTATACTGACGTGCAGACGTGCACGCGTATGTGGATAATTGTAGAAACTGCTTGTGGTTAAAACAAAGGGCATCCTGATGTCTACAACCCGGAGGCCGCGGAGGATATTCCACATTCCCACGACAGGGGCGAGTGTAACCATGTGGAAACAATTGCTTTGGCGCTGGTTGCCCTTGAACATTGTTACATTAACTGCAGACGCCACTGCACGTAATGCTGTTTGCAGTGGCGTCTGCATTGCATTGTGTAATCTCTGTTGACTTCCAACACAAAGTGGTGCTCAGTTTATTTACCCCGGAGGAATGATGGGCAGAGGTGACCCCAACCAGCATGCCTGGTCCACACATGCACATATTTTAAGGTGTACACGTCATGTGTGACCTCCCGCTGGGCAGATTGCGACGTTTAAACGAACCGTGGTATATGCGTAGGTTGCCCACGCGCTCTTTATAAACGTGGTCGCATGACCGCGCGAGCCGAGCGGCGTCACGACTCGCAGGCCCCCGTGCCTCGGTGACATCGCCAGGTCTGGGGTCAACCGGCGGGAGAGGGGGCCATAAGCCAACAACAAAATCAACACAGACACACACACAGGGGGTCTAAATGCGGCCGCCATCCCACCGTACATATGCGAAGGGACATTAGGGAAGATGGTAAAACGTGATCTTGGTGGGGTAGTGGTGGGGGGAGAGAGAGGTGAGAAGGGACACGGGGGCAAGGTAAAAGGGGAGCCACTGCAGGTGCATCGCCGCGGTGAGGCGGTGGTGGCGGCTGCGTTGTCGGCAGGCGTTACCGTGCTTGGGGAACATGATGAGGTACTCGGCGTTGCACTGTGGGCACGCTACCACCGCCGTCCCGTTGCCCTTCTGCTTCTCGTCCACCCAGCGCTGCAGGCACGTCTGGTGCACCCACTTGGTGGAGCCGCGGCACCGGCACGGTCGCACCCACTCGGCGGCGCGGTCGTCCTCGTCCGTTGCGAAGCACACCCAGCAGCTCCTGCACGGCACGCGGCGCATGCCGCCAACGTTAACACGGCGTGCACACGCGTGCACACGCGCGTGCACACGCGCGTGTGCACGCGCGCAAACGCAACCTCCGTAGGGGGGACAGACCTTGGGGGACACACTGCTGATGGAAACAATAAAGTCGAAGTGCGGCGCGTTTAACACGTAGGCTTTCGCGACCAATATCATCCAGAATACTGAAGCTAGGAGAAACGTCGTACTCGGATTGTAAATGTTGTGGCTTTGCTCTTCAACACACCGTTGTGTTGTACTTGTAACGAATTGGCACGTTCTGTTTACGTGATAAAGCAAACTAATTGGCTGTGTCGGGCGGTGGTGGGTTTAACGACACATTTATATATTTCCGCGATGTAACCCAAAAAAAACCTGTATCATCGAAGTGTGAGCTCTGGGCATAGATCGGTCACTGCTCAACTTCAGTGGGTGTCCTGAATCATGTGCGTGTATACAGCACTCTTGTCAATCCACTGTTTGATGATGGACCCCTTTAACCTTGTGGGATGTAGGGGTTATATATGGTCATACTTCACCATGCTGGTCAGTGCAGGTTGGTGAAGTGGGGGGAACAGAACCAGATCAGATATCTTTCATTACTAATGTTGGCCGTGACCAGGAATCACACTCAGGTTGTCATGGCTCAGAGCGCTGTGCAATGAAATTGAACTCAGGTGGCCGGCCCTGCAGTACAAGTGCCTTTAGCATCGTACCGCCCTCCCCCTAAGTGCATGCACAACACACAAACAGAAATCGCACATAACCCACCAATGCACATCGGCAAACACGCAAGAAACACACACCACATGCATGTCTCAAACCACACCGTCATTCCAATTACCGACGTAAAAACAAGCAAGAAACACACATAAAAGAGATACAGAGCACGCACACACGCACACACGTGCGTGCGCAAATGCACATGGGCGCAAGGGTAAAGTCAGGTCGTGGCTATTACGTCAATTTTAATGGGGCCCAATCCATCGTGGACAACGCTTCAAAGATGTCTCAAGTGCGGCGGAGGCCGATACGTAAGAGCCGTCGGTCACTCGTGCCTAAGGGCGGGAAAGCGCCATTGGGATGGGACACGCACGGTGGCACGCGTGTACACGCAGGTGCGGGCGTACCCACACCTACACGCGCTCGCTCGCTCGCGAGAGAGAGAGGCAAGCGCGATGGGAGCGTTGCCCACGGACGCACGGAGAGAGCGAGCGCGTGTCTCCGTCGGAACGTTACCGTCCGTCTGTGCTGCGTGCTGGTCCAAAATCTTGCGGGCACATGAGCCAAGGTGAAACGGCGAGCGCCCTTGTCGGGGCCGGCGCGATGCCCTCGCGAGCGTCACACGGCAACACGACGGCAGGAAGTCACGCGTCTCGGAAACGCATTCACGCAAAATGCGTAATGCCTACTTTAGCAACATGTCGTCCTCATTTTAAAACCTATATATCTTTAAAATGTTGTAGAACACAAGATTAAAAACAAACAAAAAACATTTGCCATATGATAACTATATGAATTAAACTAAGCATTTAAAACTTGCACAAGAATGGACTGAGTCAATGTCATCGTGGGAATCCTCTTCCAACTAGAGAATCAGACAATTTAATTTTGTTATGTTTAACCACCTAATTTTAGCACCTAGTTTAAGCACTTGTAAACATTTGAAGTAAACATTCGTGGTGCTCAAATGCCCCGGGGTGCAAGGCGACTAGGAGATGGAAGTACAAAAACATTATCAAATCCATTTGTACGGAGCATTAAAGTGTTTATCACCTCGTCTGCATGGGTTTGCTCTGCGTGTTCCAATTTCCTCCCACATCACTCATTGTTTTGGCCACACATCCCAGTATTGGACCCACTGAAAACAAATCTCAAGTATCAATGAGGCTTTCCTGAGGATAAACAGTGATCATTATTATTACGTAAATATTAGTGTACGGAGGACAGAATTCCAACCTCAGCAAGTGTTAAAAAAAGGCCCGACATTGCATCATTTACTGCAATACTAACCTTCACCTCCACTAATTCAAATAAAAAAGACATCCTGCATGATCAGCTATTTATTGGCCTTTTTTGAGCCAGAGAACCTTCTAACCAAAACACAGCGTGCCACTGCAAAAAATCATAAAACCACAATTACACGCCGAAAGAACGAGGGCTCTTTTTCGATAGAAACAGTGCAGGTGAGAAGTGACATCACTGAAGCAGGGATAAGCCACGAGACATGCAAAACATGTTCAAAAGGACAGCTTATAATACCTACTGTTGTCAGCAGAGTGGTCCTATTGCACGGCGCTTATCGGAAGGTTCCCAGTTCAAACCCCTATCGGGGATTGAATCATTCTCTCCATTCACTTTGTGGGAGGCCAACAGCAGTAGCCATTATTTTAATGGACTGGTCTCTGCCATAGGAATGTGGAATCGGCGACACCACAGGCAACAGGCCTGGGCAAAAGAGACCTGGGTCAATGCTGGTATGAGCACTTAAGACTTTTAATTTTGAAATCATCACAGCTGCTGCCCAAGAGTATTAGTTTAACATTCAGGCAGATCTTGGCCATAGCGGCCCTTGACTCTTAGTCACTGCACAGCCTCTATGTAGCACATCAATCGGCTACGTGAAAAATACAGCATTTAATTCATACGCACCCAATTAGTAACATTCAAGTGGAGGTCATGTTTAGATGCTGTGTACGAACATGCGTACATTAAGTAAGCTTTCTCCGCTTTTTTTTTCCCTCAAAGGCTTCCGGATGAATGGAATAGTCTGTCAGGGAAGCTCAGTAAAACTGGAAGACAATCAAAAGAACCATTTAAAAAGCGGTAGGACTTGTTCTTGGTAAATAGGCTGCTTGGGGGATATGGCCAACGCACTCGGGCAGAGGAACAGTAAGGCTTCTTGTGTCTATTAGGCATTAAAGACGAGCAGCCTGCAAGAGCCACGCTCATAAAGGGACGACCCAGAAGGAATGAATGGCCTTTTTCTGGTTGCAAAACGATCTAATGCTCTAATGCAAGCGCTCATTGGTATGTTCACCTTGAGAATTGGGAAAACGGCCAATGTGACATTAAAACAAAGGGGGTGGGTGGGGCGGGGGGGGGGTGAACGTCTTGCTGGAGCGGCGCACAACGCTGCCTCAACGTTTCGCGGCACAGAGCTGAGAGAGAGAGAAGGGGACGAGGATACGAGGAACGATCCCGCAGGCATCGGCGACAACGTTGTGCGCGAACGTACCCATCTGAAAACATATATATGTTTTCGGGAATCTCTTTAAATCACCCCTAGCTTTACGCGTACCAATGTTCATTCCCCCCCCCTCCTCTTTCATCTTTTTAAGGGAGCGTCTGTGCGTGCGAAATTACGAAGAGATGCGCGACTCATGAGCGCGAGGAAGTTCTCCAGCGTGGGCGAGCGGCGGCCTATTACGATTCAGAGCACAGCGGCGTCGAGAAACCAGAAGGGAATGACCTTAACACGTCGAGTTGATAATTGCGCTGGCCTTACATTGGCATATTAGCTCACGGTTTAACGTTATGCTGATGAGCCGTACTGAAAAACTTCCTGAAACTAAAACGAATCAGTATCGTACTATTATTTATTCTCGGCACATTGCTGCACGGCACGCACTCGGTTTCAAAGCCGGTGGGGTTGCTGATTAAAGATCACATGATATATATATACACGCTGTTTGGATATTTGCATGAGGCACACAATTTATACTCCAGAGTACAGAACTAGGAAATTTGTTTTCTTTAGTTGCCCCTCCCCTCGTCCCCACGGTGGGAGGATGCAAGCAGGCCTCCACAAGTCAGAGTGCATCATACACGCACACTCGTTATTATTATCATCATCAAAGCTCATCGGATTTCTCCAGGATAAATGCAGATTCCGATTCTGATGATTCTGACTATTTGTTGTTGTGGGGATCCCTTCCATTGAGCCACAGAAATATAAAAGTAAATGTTTCAGTCCATCAGCCTAAAAATAGGCTTTCCAGACGAATATTCTTTAGCAAGCAAACTCTAAGACTGGTTTTGGGCATTCTGGATCTCACGAGCAGAGTCAGGCTTGTTAAAAAAAAATATATGCTGCTGGAGATCACCGACCCAGTAAGTGAATGCTTCGAACGAGAGCGTCTGCCTATTAAAATGCAAACTCGTGCCCCCCCCCCCCCCCGTCAAGGTGGTGTGGAGACCCTATCAAACAAGTGCATCCACCATCTGTTCAATTGTGGCGATGTCAAGAGAAATGTCCAGAAAACGTCCCCTAGATTAGGTCATGGTGCCCCTACATGTCATAACCATCTTTGGAAAGAAGCCCAGAAATAATAAAAGTCCCCTTGCCAACTGCTCGCTGGGGCTAAAATCTCCCACGCTGAGTCAGGGAGGGGGGGGGGGGACGTCTATCAGAGCCAAATAGCCGCGGTATTACAACGGAATGGGCTGTCGCTACAAAAGGCACACGCGGTGACGATCGGAACGCATCGCCGAGCGCGACGGAAACTTAACATCGCGCAAAATGCGCTCCGTTAAAATAAAAAAGGTGCGACAGCGGCATGTGGAGCTTCGGAGAGCAATGGCGAGCATGAGAGCTCTAATTGGAGAGCAGCTGGAATCGGCGAGATTGGCCGATTGGCTGAAAGGGGTTGGAAGTGATTGGCCCAAATGATTTGTAACCTTGCAAATCATAGCTACTCCCGTAATAGGTGTCGCCCCCCTGATTTACGTCCACTGCTGGATGACGGCCACTCCACGCCGTACGGATCGTGGGGGGGGGGGTCAGTTGAGCGCACTTCGCCAGGCCGATCGGTGCGGGCTGAAGGAGGACGTCGAAGATGCGGGAGCATAGAAGTGTAGCATGACAATCGCTTTTGGCGCGCTGACCCCTGCTGACCAGCGCGTGGGCCCATTTGGGTGCCCCATCCGGGCATGATCCAGGCTCAGCTCGGCCAAAAACCGAGCATGAAATTAATTATA